GGAAGAGCGATCACTCACAGGCACCTGGGATATAAATACTTTGAAGCGGTGGAAATGGAAAACTGCACAACACCCCGGCAAAGGTAGGTAGAGTAAGGTGTTTGGTGTCCATATTGTGATTGACTGTGGAAGCTTGATGGATAGTCTAATTAAAAATATTAGAATAATTGTGACTTTCTATGATTCTATGGTTAAAAATGTTTTGTTGTTCTATGTGACAGGCCTGGTATGTGGCACAACTTGCAAGTAGTAGCGTTTAGCAAAGATTCCCTGCAAGTACTGGACTGCTGTATTTCTCTGATGGCTTGTTTTGTCTACAAGTGTTAAAAAATTTGAAATCTTTCTGGAGGCATTTTTGTCCAGCTAGAAGTGGCTACTTCATGAACTCACACTTGTAACACAGATTGATTTTGTTAGGTGCTGATGAGTTGTGTTAATCTAAGCTTAAGCCTGTGCTGCAGAAAAACAGACAGCTGCACTTAAAAATCCGCAATGTAATCAGCTTAAAGGACTGCATGGATGTGATTCAAGTTAGGGCTGGCACTCAAATGCTGTGGGTGACCTCATTTCATTTCTCATTCCAGTTGGTTGCTTGGACATTGTCCTTACAGTCACTTATATCCATATCCGTAAAAAGCTTACAGAGGTTTGGGGCTGGTCTAGGTAAGAGTTTAGAGCTCTGCTTGACCTGCAGCTAGGAACTTATGTGCTGTTTAACGACGATAAAGGTGCATGATGGGCGGGGGGTCATTTCACATTTTCTGTGTGAGTCAGTGTGTGAGAAGTAGATGGATTGTATATTTTAATATTATGAATTGGTGCATCTTAGGCTCCATACTACTTGCAGCTTTAAGGAAGAGAACCTGCTCAAACACTAGCTTTTAAGGAAGATATGAGTTCAAACTGTTGAGATAGAGTATTATGTACTTTTATTCTTCTTTAATATATTACCAACATTTTTGTGCTTTACAGGATTCTCCAAAAGCACAGAGACCTCAGGAAACTTTACAGTAACAGTTTACCCAAAGGAAATAAGGACTTTCTTTGTATACTTTCAGAGTCAATAAAGTTTAACATTACATTTCAAGAGTGAGTATGTAATAGCTTCCAATTTTTGTTTCAAGATAGGAATGATGATCTTGCAAAACATTCTACTGCTGTTAATGAAAGAAATAGTCATTTTGGAATAAACTCTAAATTTAATTAAACTGTTGGCTTGAGTTGTGGGTATTTTTGTTGGTTAATTATTTACAGCTCATTTTTTCTGAAACTTGATCAGTGCAAAAATGACCTTGGTGTTGCAGTGCAAGCATATTGCACATTTTCATGCTTGCTGTGGGTGGTTTTCAAAGTGATTGCTTCCATAATGCTTCACTGTGGAGCACTGTCAAAGTCCTATTAGTCTTACAATCTCAAGTTGTCTTTCTAATTAGTGGTGATCTCAAAAGTCTTCTCTTAAGTTTCTTTATTGTTAGAGGAGATGACTTCCAAATCACAGAAGAGTGATCTGCCAAATGGGGTTCTGTTTCTACATGCAAGGAAGAATGCCTGTTGTATTCCAGCTACTTTGTCTTTTGGGCACAATTGCAAAGTTTCTGCCTTGCTGTAAACTGAAGTTGAATGTCCCGTCTGTATTCCTTTGCCCTGAGTTCATTTAAACTGCCTTTTAAGGCTTACAATATCCTGGTCCTGGACGTTCACTGTTGTGTTCTTGGTAAACTGGAGCTAGGCTGTTGACAGAAGATGTATTGCCACATGACTGGTAACTAATTCATAATCTGAAGCAGAAGCACCATTCTTACAACCCTGTGAACTTTTTCATACTTCTCAGCCTCAGAGGATGTGCCTAGTAGTAGCAGGAAATGTTTTATTAGCATCAAGTTGAAATTAATCATGGAGGACTGTGTTGAGAGGTTAAACTGGCAATAAGTGCAGACTCTAAGCAGATCTGATCGAGCAGCAGCAGAAGGAAACTTGGACAGTGGCGGGGTTTCCTAATAGCTGCTATGTATTTATGTCAAAAAGAAAAATTGCATTTTTCTATTTTCCTTTCTAGCTCTAAACAAGGTGGAGCTGTAGAATCTGATTCTGTTTATGTGCCATTGAGCATCTCTATTTCACTTGTTGATCATGAAAATGCACATAGCCAAAATGAGAATCAAGTCACTCACTTCACTGCAGTGATAGTGATGAATTACGCTTGGTGCAACACTGTACAAAACTGTATTTCTGACCAGTGAAACATTAAGCTGAAAGAGAAAATATATAGGTTTAAAAGAAGAGAATAGGTGCCTTTTCAATCAACTGATAATAATTCTAGCTCTAGAATCATTTAGAAATGACATTTCACTATGGTAATAGTTCTCATTTGCTTTGGCTGTTCAGCAGTGATTTCCTCCGTGTGGAGACACTGTTCAGGAACAAAGGAAACAGTGAAAAGGGCTGTCCCAGAATAGCTCTTGTGAAATAGTTATGCTGGAAGAGCTGCACTGGTGGTCAACTTTTCTGTGTAGAAAGCCTGTGTACGGTAACTGTTTGCATCTCATTAAAATCACTGTAGAAACTGTGCATTCAGTTATTGGTTGAAGAAAGGTTGTATCATATTTTCTATTGGTTATTTTTCATACTTAGCAATAATGCCAATCTAATCTGCCCTGATGCAGTGAAAGCCATTTTCCTGCCACTTTAAGCCCAAAGGGGAATTGTGTAGCACTGTAACTAGAATGCAGTAAAGCAAGATGGCAGCTATTTTTTGTTTTGTTTTGGGCATGTATTAGGGAATGAAATGTGTCCAGCTAAGTAATATTCCTTGCTTGTACATCTTTTCTGATTTCCTGCTTGGGTATGCCATGTAGTACAATGTGTATACTCTGAAGGTTACACAGTGGTAGGATTACAATTCATTTTTCTGTGACTGAAGTCATGACAACAAGTCAATCATGGTAGGTTATAAAAATGGAATTGTATCTTCAGTGGGCAATTGTATGGTCAATCCCAGCCAAGCAGTAAAGGGTCCTACAGCTGCTGACTCTGGGCACTTCTTTCCCAGATGTAAGATATGTATGTTTCTAGTCCATGTTAAGTGTGTTAAGTCCTACAAAAGCCTTCTGTATGCAGGATAATATAAACAGGAATACCTCATTATCAGCTGATTTATCTGTTGGGGGGGGGGGGGGGGGGGGGGGTGTCTACTTCCCTTTGTAGAGACTGTCTGATTTAAAAGAAAAGGGGGGGAGAGCACCACCAGAGTATTTTACCTGGAGTTGTTTCAGTACAATTGGCCACCAGGGAATAATTTGCCAGAATCAAATCTTGTATTGCACTGGAGGCATCCAAAACTGTAAAGAACACGGCATTCCTGCTAGAAATCTATTCGTAATTTACAGAAAGAAAAGAAAACTTAACAGGATCTTCCTGTTGTAAATGCTTTCCTGACCCACACAGTCATGTGGGTGATGCACTTACCCCACCAGCAAAGCTGGCTCAAGAAATTTTGTCACCATATTTTTCGACCCGCTCAGTACTACTGTAATGAGAGTTTGTGGGGTTGTGTTGTAAAACAGTACAATGAATTAACCTAAATAAGCAGCTAAAAATAAACCTTCTTCCCAACCCATTTTTCTGTGTGCTAATTCATTTCATCTCTGACAGGATGATTTGGATTAAAACCAAAATGTCTTTCTGAGTAAATATAAGCTGCTATCAGCACTACTGAAAAGGCTTCACCTAGTTTCTGGACAAAATACTTTGCATGCTGGAGCTGCAAGCTGCGTAACTCAACACTAAATGCATTAATGTAGATATTTAAATACAAGAGAAACTAGTTTTACCCTTGAATTTAAACATGTATATTTCGTTGTTCTACATCTTTGATCAGTAGTACTGAAGATAACATGGATGTCAATGCTAACAGAATCATTTAATATAATTAAATGATATCCTTAAGTATAATATTATTTGCTTTAATATATCCTTTCGTTCACATGAATTTAAAGGTATTTGTTATGTCCTCAGTAACTCTAAAAGGTGATAACTAAGTCAGCTGAGTACCATTAGAAATGGGGATAGCCTACAGCATAATCTGACATGTATATGTGCTATCGTCTCTTCTTTCATTTTATTTGGCAATCTAACTGGAAACTACTTCTGTAAGGTAGATACTGGTGAGCAGGTAAGCTGATGTATTACGCTTTTGTGGCTGACAAATGGAAAGGAGCCGTGCTTTAGACTTTAAATGTGGCTGTGTCTTCATTACAAATTACAGTTCAGCTGTTCCAGACACCTGCCCAGTGGTGCTGGTACCTGATGTTACTTGTAGAAAATCTTGTGGTTGACAGATTTTTATCAAGTTCTTAACTGCTTCATGTTCTCAGCATGTCCTATTTGATCTTTTTAATTATCATTTAAGTTCTGTCATTGCAATTTTTATGTTATCCAACTGAACATATTTGTGGAACAGTTTTGTCTGGCCTGGCATTTGAAACATCTGTCCAGGGAATAAACCTAAGTAAGTTGAGAAAATGGAAGCAATGTTTTATCTTCCACTTCTCTCACCAGGCAATGTAATTGATTCTGGGTTAAAGCAAAATATCAGTATTGGAGAACATTGAGCAGCATACAGTTATCTATAATTGTAATTTTTTTTTTCTTTAATAATTGAAGGCAAATAAGTTTCAACGTGGCCTTTAACTTGATGACATAACTGTAGATCATTTTATTTAACCCATGCTTATCATCTTCCTGAAACAAGCCTTAGTTAATATACCCTTCAGTATCTGAAGAAGGCCTAGAAGGATGCCAGAGAGGGACTGTTCACCAGGGACTGTAGTGAGAAGACAAGGGGAAACAGATTCAAACTTAAACAAGGGAAGTTCAGGTTAGATATAAGGAAGAAGTTCTTTACTGTGAGGGTGGTGAGGCACTGGAATGGGTTGCCCAGGGAAATGGTAAATACTCCACCCCTGACAGTGTTCAAAGTCAGGCTGGACAGAGCCTGGGTGATGTGGTCTAGTGTGAAGCATCCCTGCCTATGGCTGGGGGGGTTGGATGTAGATGATCTTAAGGTCCTTTCCAACCCAAACTATTCTATGATCCTATTGCACTGGTATTGCATTAATACAGCTGCACACACAGAGGTAACAGTGGGATGCACTGCATACAGAGTGTAGTGTTCTGCATTGTCTCCCACTGATGTTGCAGGATGTTGGGACCACTTTGTGGTCTTCACTCAAGCACTTCAAACTCAGCCTTCCACCATTGCTCCTGTCAGTGGGGCTATGCTGCTGTTAAGGCAAAAGTAGCAAAGTATTTTTCATGGGAGGGAAGAGTTTAGGCAAGATTTCAGCAAGATGAAAGGTGTGATAAGGAGAGATGATAGGATTAATATTTGACATCAGTGTAACCTAAGTATAATCACTGTCTCTTTTGCTTTGGATAAGAGTCATCAGGTTGGCTGGAAGAGGCTGTTGAAAACATGTACATAGTACCTAAACAAGACTCATCTTCATAAAACACCTTTAAATGAAGGATTGCAGAAGTGCAATATCTCACATGAGACCACTGCAAGTATGGAAAAGCAGTTTTCTATGTCCTGTCAGCAGAGAGGCTAATCTAGTGCTGAAAGATAGCCAGTTAGGAAACAATTTAAAATTTAAAAAAGAGCTGTTCTGATTTCAGACAGAATGAATGGGCTCTAAAACAGACCACTCTGTGGTGACAGTTTCAAAGAGTAGAGGGAAAATCTGGGTTGCATTTAGGTTTCTATTGCCCTCACCACATGAGGGAAGAGGAAGTTAAGCTACGAATCTGAGAGGCTTTCATTTGTTGTTTTGCTGATCTTCAACAAAGACACCCTGATGCAAATGCTAATAATCCTGTGTGATGATCATAATTTCAGTGAAACTTCTTTTAACAATGTGTTTTGGCTGCTTAGGTAAGTGCTCTTTATTTTGTTTTGTTTATAGTTTGCCACCTGTAATCCTTGAGCTGGGTTTAAAAACGCATATTTTCTCCAGTATATCCACCTCAAATAGACTTGTGTGCAAGATGAGGAGAATGTTAGCTATATTTTTGTAATGCTGAAATCAAAATTAAGATGTGTGGGGAATAAAAAAGCATTTTCATAAAGAGATTGTTATAGAAAAAGTGTAGAGAAACAAATTTGACACCCAAAACGATCTTAGGTTAAGAAGGCAAGCACTCTTTTTTTTAGACCTTTAGACTTGAATATTTATTGTGGAAAACACTGAATGTAGAATTTGAAAATGTTAAGGAGGTTTAGTTCTGGGTCATGTATCTACTGAAATACAAAGCAGATAAGGTTTCATGTTCCTTATTCAATACAGATTGCACTGGTTAATACTGAAGGTGTTCAGTATAAATTAAAAAACAGAAGGAAAGAGAGGGAAAGATTAAGAGATTAAACAAGGGCAAAAGCTTTTTTTCAGTGCTATTTTCCAGAAAGACACTGAAGTCACAAGACTAAAATGTATTAGATGCCATTTGAGGACCATGTAGTACATCAGTGAGTACACAGAAGATCTTCATTTGTTGCACACAATGATGAAGGGCTTTAACACACCAGATTAAAAGTTTCCCTTTAGCCAGAAAGTAATTGCCATTGCTCAAGGGAGAAGTGGCTAGTAAGTAAACTGAAAAATTAATCTCATGATGATTTTACAGTATTAACAATATTTTCAATCCTGTGATTGTAGATATTAGAGCTGTAATGCTTCCTCTTGGCTGCTTTAAATCTATGTATATTCCTCTGCTAGCTACAGGTCCCAGTAATATAACAGTCATCCAAACACCAACAAAAATGCGTCTATCAATTGGAGACTACACTGAAATCGCCTGTATTTGGGAAAAATCTGTTGTGAGATACAGAGTAAGCTGGTATCTTCTTAATAAAGAGAACATCACCACAACTATATCATCAAAACTTCTGTATGTATACAATGACACCAGTGACAGCAAGGATGTGCTGGTGATAAACTCTGCCAATATAAATAACACTGGATTTTACTACTGTGAGATAATGATTAAAATACCTTTCTGTAAGAAAGTATGTGGAAATGGGACAACAGTGATTGTTGAAGAGAAAGGTAAGCTACCAAGAACCTAAGTGTGCCATTTAGCTTATCATCGTAAAGATTCTTCATTTTCAACTATTTTATACACTTCTTCCCTCCCTCACATCTCTCTCTCAGCGCTGTGGGTCTTGGAATGAATAAAACAAACACAGAAGAGACATGAACGGCTTTTACTGACAATTGACTTAAGCTCTCTGCCTTAATACACCCAGTGCAGTGTTTGTTTTCTTCTAGAACAGTTTGCTAACAGGAATTATTAGTTAAGGTTTACAAAATACTGTGCATCTGCTATGTATTTCACAGACAACCCAAACACAGTTCCTTCTCATAAGGGATTTGTGAGGCTAGGTAGTTAAGCTGAGACATAACTGACACAGTTCATGCATCTGCCTTGTGGTAAGGAGTGGCTGAAGCAACTACACTCTTACTCTGTTAAGCAATATGTACCCTTTACTAACCATTTTATCTTTTTATTAGAAGTTCTTAGTAAATTAATATGGAAGATAGAGCAGTATGTGCTCCATATTAATAAGGATTTGTGTCCACAAAGATGTTGTGATAAAATGTTCTGTATAGGCCGTGTCTCCTTACCTTATTATAGTCATTTGCTAATCGTCACGAGAGAGCTATTTAAGGTCCCAGTTCTGAATTAAGCGTTGAAAAGCATTAATTCAATAAGTATTCACACACAATTAAATTTTCAGCAATAGGAGTGAGGTATGTTTCACCTTAAATTATGCCGAGAATGTGACATACATAGAAAAAGTTTACCTGTTGTGTCTGTTATACAACTATCTCAAGACACTGTGAAGATGCTAATCTCTACCTCTCATTCTACTTCTCAACAGTAGAGAAAAACTAGGGGGCTTTGATAATGTTAAAGGTCTCTGACTAGACCTTTAATATTACCAAACATCACTCATATATTGACTGATCAAGTCATGGGAAGCAAACTTTCCATTCATCCAGCACAGTCCAGTTTTGGACACTATGCTATTGGGCAACTGGTAGTCCAAAGAGAGGCACAAAAATTATCAAAGACTTAGAAAACGTCAGTGATAGAAAATGAATGTAGTGTTCAAAATGGTGGGAAATGAATGTAAAAGGCTGCTAAAAGAGTTAATCTTAAAACGAGTTGGGTGAGCTGACGCCAGACACATCTCTTACCTGGTCTGGTAGCAATAGCCTTAAAGTACAAGCAAAAGAGACTCACATGAGACACCGAAGGGGGGGAAATCGTCAAGCTGAAGGAGCTAAAAGAGGATTCGATATTATTGTTCATCAGGCATGCATCCCTCAGGAACGGGAAAGTGTAAGTAACCTTGCACTTGGGTGGGAGGGTTAACTGATTCTCTGCTGAAGTCAGTTTTAATTTTCCCCACCCCCCCCCCCCCAGTGTTTTTCTATTGTTTCTTTGAACAGTACGTAACTTTATTTAAAATATATTGTTACAGAGGCTCACTCATTGAACAAGAGAGATTTGGCAATATGCGCCATCATTCCTTTCTTAGTGGCACCAGCAAGCTTGAGTCTTTGCTACAGAAAGAAACAGAAACAGCGCTCAAAACTTCCCAGTGAGTGACAATATTTCCATTAACACAAACTCTCTAAGTTAGATGTTTGTTCTGAGATGGCTGGACAGTAGCACCTGAGAGGCATCACTTAGGTGCTCCTAAGGATGAGGAATTTCAGTGTACAACTTTTGCTTACCTGGTCCTGATCTGCTAGGGACCGCTCAAACTGAGAGGAGGGATTGGGTTATAATTCAAGTGAGCGTTCTTGAAGCCACTTGCCTCTGTTATTTATCTTTCCAGACTTAGACTGAAGATCTTGACTTACTTAGGGTATTGAGAGATATCAATTCTGATAGTTTCAGACTATGAGAGCAGACTGAAAAAGTGAGAAGCCAGAACTTAGCTTTGCATTATGGTCTTACTCCTGGTAGTGACACCTGGAAATGACATCTGAAAGAACCAGCCTTGGGGTCTGAGCTGTTCTGGTTTAAGCTGTATTTTTTTTTTTTAACTAATTATTATTAAAAAAAAAGAAATGAAGATGGAAGAAGTCACAAGAAAAAACAGCAAATTGGATGGTTAGAGGACAAGTAGGGCATCTGCTGGCAGTGAGTGCAGATCAGTGTCATAAAACCTAAGGCAGCCTCCTAAGTAACTGTAGCATGAGTATTACAGTTGCAGTATGAGGCTCACTCAGATTGTGAGCTGTCAAGGATGTAGGAACAATACCTGCGGTTTGAGGTTTAACTTGCAAGTTAACAAACCAGGGAGAGGGGATTTAGGTGAGTGAAGTCCTAAGTTCCTATTTCAGTCACTGGATTGACACAGGTGACTGTATGAACTGACCTGTGTCTACTTAAGGGTGAGCTCCTCAGTTCTCTAGTTATGACACAAACTCTGTTGACCAGCTCTCCATGGCATAAAGGGTATTCAGAAACCTGAAGGTATTCTATTCCACTTGCAAGCTGAATACCCCTCTAGTGCCTGTCATCAAGACTAAGTTATATAGGAGCTCTGCACTCTTCATTTGCAGAGCTCTGGTATTTCCAGTGTGACTCTGGAAATGGACAGTAAGTAAGCAGTGACTGTAACTTGTTTTTTGCTAAGGTTCTGCACTGCTTCCTGTGCCAACAGGAGGGCATCAGGGGGAGGGAATGCTCGAGGCTGCAGAAGTTCAGGGGAGAAGTGAATCCACAAGTGGAGCAGCTGAGGAAAACTCAGCTGAATGGGTAAGTGGTTTATAAAAAGACTCTCACCATGAGAGGACTTCCAAAATGAGGCAACTGGGGAGTGGGAGTGCCCTGAGCAGGAAGAACACATCAAGCTGCTCTTCCTGGGGGGGCATCTTGCTACACATGAAAAAAAAGCCTTATTTTTCTTTTTGTATTTTTTTAAGAAAAAACAATCTTGACAGTGACAACACTCAGAAAGAGAAAGAAAGATTATTTGTGTTGTAGGAAAGTACTGGATTCTGTTATTAAATTTAGTGACGCTCTAAAACGGTCTGCAGAAGAGGGCAGAAAAAATGAAGAATATCAATATAGAGACTGTATGAAAGAAGTAGAGAAAAAGTTAAAAAGGGCAGTAAAGTCTCTTTCCATACAATTGTTTACCAAGCTCAAAGGGCTTGGACTTGCTTTAGCTCATAGGACTGTTACAGCAGACACTTTCTAAGAGCCGGTAGCATATTTCAGGCAAGCTTCTTTATCCAGGCAGTTTCTCATCTCTTAATTACATTAAAACATTAAGTGGGCAAGTGAAAGAAGCCCTAAGTTAACTCTTGCACAGGTAGGCACAACTTCCATCACAGTCAGCTGGACAGGCTTGAACAAGCCACGCAGAGGCGATGTAAAATGCTAAAGCCCATGGTCACAACTGCAACTGAGTTTACAGATTCCTGAATTCTCCTGTTAGAAAACATGGCTTTGGTCTTGATTTGGTCATGTTGGTATTGAAATCATGGTGAGAGAAAACATCAGGATGCAAGTAGTAAACCAGTAATATCTGTCTTTTATTGTGCAACAGTCATCATTCTAGAAAAAGAAAATGTATAGCTGGGAAAATTCATTCCCCATTATATGTGGATTCCCACTGAAGCTCAGAGGGAGCTTCTTCAGAGCTCCTTGCTTTTACAGGAGACAGCATATTAGAAAATTTCAAAAATACAAGGCATGAGGTGGTCTGGTCATGGTAATAGAGTATTCTAATTACTGGCTATAAATGGATAACTCTTCTACTTGTTAATATTTAATGACTATGTGAGAAAACAAGGCTGAGAATGAGAAACAAGCATCAGAGGGGGTGCAGTGAAGAGTTCATTAGTAGCCTTTAAATGCTCAGGGTTTGTATGGACAACCAGACTCATCCACAGGATGTGTAAATACAACTATAAAAGGTCTCGTGCTGCTTTGTAATTAGCAGCTGCTAGCCACAGAGACATGTCATGATATAAATTTGGCATTTTCTTTCACATAACAGGATCTTTTTTTGCTACTTGAATAAAAGCAGAAGCAGTGATTTCAGTGGTATCATTTTAAATGCTAAAGTATAATTGGATCTTATAAATCATTCAAGGCATCCAGTAGATTAGTAAAGCCAGTACATACAATGTGCATGCACACTATATTTCAGATAAATTAAGCCAATAGTGATGAGCACATATTATGGTGCCTCTGGAGCTGTACTCATTGCCTTTCAGTTGTGTTGCAGAACATGACTGATTTAATTTAAGGGTACTTTTTCCTGTCTGTGCTTAAGTAATCATCTGAAAAGTTCGCATTAGTTTTTTATATTGCTTACACTTTTTCTCTTTAAGCTTGGAAATTCACTATACATTCTGAGTAGGTTTGGGCACCATTTCCAGAACAGCAAACGTGAAGGTTGTGTACACCTTTGCAAGGCCATTTACAGTCCTCACTCGATTTATGTTCTGTTTTTTTCCAATACTTGGGGTTGCAAAGGCAATCTTGATTCACAGAACTTGAATCAAGGCATGGATTTTATTCTCACCTGTATCATACATCATAACAATGCTGAGCAATTAGGTCAGATGACAGCACATAGCTCCAGGTATCTTAATTTAGCTTAACCTGAGAGTGAACATCCCCATGGCAAAGCTGGCTGCTGTGGCTGTGCTTTTATTATATAGCACTTCTCTGTCTCTCTGGAAAGTCATCCTATGTTTCCTGAGTTGAGATGCTCACTGCATGTTTCCCAGACAGTTCTGCCAGCTCCAGGAGTATTTGGCACTTAAGGGAATCCTTGGAGCAATTGGTGATTTTTTTGTTGCTAAATTCTGCAGGTTCCAGCCCAAACCTAAGCACTGCTGTAGCATTAATGCAAACTTCCAGCTTATTCAAACACATAAAAAGCACACTCCTGAGAAGCTCTGGTTGTGCAAAAATGCACGGAAGCATGATCCAGATTAATTGGCCGTACCTACCATGCCCCCTGTTTGATGTTCAGGCAGCAGTACCTCTGGTCTGAGCCTAGTTCCTTGAAACAGAGACAGTAAATCCCCATAGCAAAGTATAACTTTTGATGACGAAAAGCTACCACTTCATGACTTACGGGTTTTTATTGTTTTATGCCATGTTAGCTTGTAAATTTGATTTTATGTCAATGAGCACAGATCTTTGTGGACCTTTAAGGCAGATCTTTAATTCTTAGCTTTTGCTAAAGAACTTACCTGAAGATCCCAAATCCTACACGTGCTTAGGAAATGAAAACAAGATGACTTTTGCACAATGCAGAATAACATCTGAGTACCACTGCAGTGTACTAGTTTACTGCATAAAAAGAGCATCCCTCCAGAAGGAGCAGTGTGATAAAGCTTTTTGGAAATATTGGAGTTAAATGTTAAAGGGAATAAAAAACCTTTGAAATTTCAGATTTCATAGAACTGGGTTTATACTGAAACTTGACGTCTTTGGTATTCTAAGTGAGTACTTTGTGCCTGGTACCTAATTAACCAAGAGAATTGAATCCAAACATAGGAAGAATTTGCCTTTCAGTGTTAGTACTGAAATGCTCTTTCCCTCTAAAATGATAACTCTATGAGCCGTGTTTCTGTCTGTTCCCTTGGGCTGTACTAGATGCTTTGTCTTGAGTAAAAGGTCATTTTAAATAGACTGAGTAAAAATTATTTTGATGGAAGTTTCTTTGCTTTTTTAAGTCTGTGTCTATCCTTTATGAATAACTTGGTTCTTTCTTGCAATGAATAAAGAGGAAAAGATGAGAAATCCACTGCAACTGTTGTATCCTGTGTAGCTGATGAGCAAATCCCACAAACTAGGGCAGTTGAAAAGTCCAGAATGAGACACGGACTCGCCGTCTACTTTGACATTCAGAACTAAAAGGACATTAAAAAATATGGCTAAAAAGCTGTAAAACTGAAAACTATGATAATTTTCTGCTGAAGGATGGATTCTGTGAGTTCCCTGTCAGAAGCATGTCGGCAGGACAGGATGCAAGAAAAAAGATTGGTTCCAAGTAGTCTCTGAATGTTTTGTCACTGACAAAATGCTGTGAGGAGCCTGTGAATTTGGAGGGCATGTTATTTTAGAAGACCAGCTTCAATTCTTCCCCCTGTATCTGGAAATAGAAGATGTGCTGCCATAGTTTGAAAAATCTTCTGGACTGAACATTCTCCGACAGAAGCATTTCTTCAGGCAGCCCATGTAGAAATAGCAGAAGGTAAAATAAAAGTGCATATGGTGGTAATCATTTGACCAGATAGATCACATAGGATGAAACTATCATCAGTGCTGACAACCTCGTAGCCAGAGTGGTATGCCAGAAGGGTTTATATTCCTGTGGAAAAGGACTGTTAGTGGTACTTTATTCACATATGAGGAAAAATCTTCCAGAGAAAATAGTCTACTATGCACAGTGAAATGCTAGGTTTAAATGGAGCTCTCTATATTTATGTATAATTATTGCCTATCTGGTGGAGGAGGGCTGCTTGGAGGAGACTGGAGCATTAACACTTGTTTCACTTTTGCCAGCTTCAAAACTTCAAAACCAAAAAATTACTGATGAAAAATCAAACCTGGAAAGTAAGGGAAAGCTGGCTTCCAAGGTGAGCAGTATTGACAGCAAAGCTAACGGCAGTTGTCCAAGCACTGCTGAGTACTCAGAACAGGTATCTGCAGTGTGAATGTATTTATGTACCAGAGGTATTTTGTCTTCTGTTTAACTTTGCAGAGCTTTGCTGGAAGTTAAGCATGTTCCCAGCAACACAAGGAGAAACAACCTCACTGCGCACGAGGTTTGTTACAGCTTGTAGCAGGGCAGTAGATGCAGATTGGCTTTCCTGGAGCCCTTAAAAACAGTTTGTGTAGTCTAAAGGTGTGACTGGCTTGCTGCTCAATATCCTGTAATGAGGTCTTTGTGGCCATACAGCATGGCTTGTGGTCTGGTTCTCTCTACGCTATAGCAGCTGCAGTTCACAACTACTGTAGCTCAGAAGTGGCTCACTCCTTGGCGTGAATCCTCTTTCCTGGGTGGTTCTGTGACCTCCCCTGGATGCTGTTCTGCAGTGAATATTCTGCTGTCAGAAATACGCTGTAATCACTGCACTGTGACTATACCTCGAATGAGAGAAAATATTTGTTACTGACTATTTGTTACAGTACATCTCATGGTACTTACACGTAGGTTGGATAAACCAAGAGGATTTTCTTTTCTTCCTTTTGAAGTTCAGTCACTTTAAAATCTTGGTGATTTTTGCCCTGAAATGTTATTACAGACTTGTTTTCTTTACTGTGTGGTGAAACAGTCATGTGCCATATTCCTTTGAGGCTTACAAACAGGATTGTGGATTTCCACAGACCCTGTATCTTTGTCCCCAACACAAGAAAGTTGTAACCAGTAAAAGGAATGGTGACCTTCGGGCCAGGTTCCTTGGTCAAGGAAGCTTTTAGTTACACCTCCAGAGCTGTAAGTGCATGCAGTAAATTTTGGTCTGTCTATATATTGCTGGTTACGTCTCTAATCACAATCAGGAGATGCACAGTATTCAGGGAATTGTTAAAGGCAACCACTAAATTAAGAGATTGCCACTAAACCACAATTTAATAGTCTCCAAATCATATTTTCATTAAACACTATTAGAAATTGCTGATTAAATGTGGTTCCTACTAGCAAAGAATGCTGCCTTATTAACAGCTGCTCATATTTTGTACGTAACATAGTCATTTCCAACATCTGACAGCTGAAAATGACACCAAATTTATCAGGACCTATTTTTAGCTGTGACTGACAGTGGCTATGAGCCAGCAGAGTATTTTCAGAGCTCCCGCTGGTTGTCCTACTCATCAGTAATAGTTTGACACCTATGCATCACATGTGTTATCTTCTCTGCTTCTGTACCACTTGGGAAGCAACACACTCTTCTGTTTTTATTTCTTCATGGTTGTTTTGATAGCTTTATAACAAAAAAGAGCTCTGTAATTAATCTCAGGACTTTTTCTAGTGTCCAGTATGTTCTCAAATATTAACTGTGCATCTGTTCAGTCTATAAGGAAGCCCACCTCCCTAATTACAGACCTTGAAGAGAACCCTGGGCCTTTGCTTTTAGCCAGTTTTGGTGATTATTCCCTCCTGACCAGGCTGCTGCAAACTGGTGGTTCCATTCTGGTTTAATTTGAGGTTCAAAGTCCTGTGTTAAGCGTAGGCTAACACATCCTAATTTAAGAGCAAGACTGGCGCAGTGTATTCTAAAGCCTCTACGCATTCTGCCATGCTTCTAATGTCTCACCAATGTACTTCTCTCTCATAGTATCTGTGGAAGAAGAGTATGGAGCAGGTATTCCTGGCTCCGTTACACCAAGGATCTGCAGTAGCAGGCAGGATGATGAGGCACCCCAACCAACATAGTCATGTTTGTGTGTGATACTATGACTAATGTTCTTGTACCTGGTAACAGTGCTGTCAGAACAGCAATGATGTTGTTGTGGTTTAACCCCAGCCAGTAACTGAGCCCCGCACAGCCACTGGCTCACTGGAAGGGTGGCGGAGAGAATCAGAAGGGTAAAAGTGAGAAAACTCATCATGGATTGAGGTAAACGCAGTTTAACACCTAAAGCAAAAGCTGTGCACAAGCAAAGCAGAACAGGGAATTCATTCCCCCCTTCCCATGGTCAGGCAGGTGTTCAGCCATCTCCAGGCACGCAGGACTCCATCATGTGTAGCAGTTACTTGTGAAGACAAACACCATCACTCCAAACATCCCCCTTCCTTCTTCTTCCTTCACCAGTTTTATATGCTGAGCATGACACCATAGGGTGTGGGATATCCCTTGGGTCAGCTGGGGTCAGCTCTCCTGGCTGTGTCCCCTCCCAGCTCCTTGTGTATCCCCAGGCTGCTCACTGGTGGGGTGGTGTGAAGAGCAGAAAAGGCCTCACCTCTGTGTAAGCACTGCTCAGCAGTAACTAAAACATCCCTGAATTACAAACACTATTCGCAAAACACAGCCCCATACTAGCTACTACATAGAAAATTAACTCTACCCCAGGCAAAACCACCACAGATGTTAAAATTGGTTGACTAAAATTTGTTTGAAACCAGATTTTATCTGAAGTATTTTCTCTATACTGCTGACATCAAGAACCACTGCAGAACTGATGCTATTCTCAAAACCCCAAAAGCTCCAGCCCAACATTAAATTGACTTAAGATTGTCTTCATGCAGCTAGTTAAGAACATTAAAAGCACTCCTGTTTGGCAAGTGTAACTCTGGATACAGGCTATGTCCAAGGAGAAAGTCTGATCTATGCAAACAGCATGGGTTTTGTTTGAAGTGTAATCCTTGCCTAGTTCCTAGCACTGCTTGAGAAATGAAAGTTGAAATCAATACTTTGTCTGAGCTACAATATTTTTACCTACTTCTCTCTTAAGGACCTCAATCTCCAAATTGATCTCAAATTTAAGGAACAATACCACCTAAGGGGAAATTGAAGTGTATCATGGGGTTCACAGGGTCTGTGTTTCCACTAACCTAAAGAGGATGCTATGTTGGTTTTATTCTGCCTGGATGAACTGGGCTTTCAAACCTAAATGCCATTTTGTGTGCTGCATCTATTTCAGCATCAGACTCCGGATCTAGGTATATTGCCACATTCTTTATAGTTAACAGCAGAAATAAACTAGAGAGTAAATCTATAAGATTATCAGAATTTATTTCTGGCTCATGCTCATGCTGGGGAGTTACAATGAGGGTGGCTGTAAAGAGGTTTTTGTTATCTTATTTTTACTAAGTGGTCTTGTCTCAGTACTTTGCAAACAGGAATCAGCACATATGACTGACAAACGAATCCACAGATCAAAGGGGCACTAGCCAATTCCTCTGACCAAAAGAAGGACAGATGCACATGTATAAATGCTTCTCATTTTCTACATAATACAAAATACTGAGATGAGAGGAAGGATTCTGATAACTCCTACATTCCAGTAACAAGGCATTAGCTAAGGTGCTGTGGTCTGGTGCTGGGCACTGGTGGATTTTGTTGGCTGATGGGATGTGATAGCAATTAATTCCTTGTCCTTTTTCCAAAGCAGAGCCAGTTGCCAAGGCTTGGCAACATCTTATACAGCCTTATTCTATGCCTATCAAAGTTACTTCATAACTTTCTCAGAGGAAGTATTCAACTTCACAGAGGTGGAGAGGTATAGAAAGGGTAAGGTAGAGAGGGAGTAAGCTCAGCACTATTTATTTAGTCCACTATTATTTGCAGACTAAAAACAGACCTAAACTTGAATGTTTAAGTTGCCCTAAACTTGAATGACCGGCTCTGCAAGCCAGAAGTGAGGACGTATCTGTACATTGCCTGGCCTAACACAGTTGAGACCCATGGCTGCTGGGAATGCTGTGGAAATACATCATGAAAGCAAGCAATCGGTATTGCTCCATTTTTTACTTTATAGCTTTTAATTCTGGAGAGAGAATTAAAAACAACAAAACAAACGCCTCTAATGAAGCCAGCAGAACAAGGTCAGGTAATAGTGACAGACACTCCAAAGCCACCAGTGGTCTGACTGGGTTTGCTCAGATAGAATAACTCTCCTTTCCTAATTTAGCAGCTATAAAATATTACAATTTGTTGTTTAAGTTTCTTTTTAAATACAGACTAACCTTACCCTAAAGACTCTAGCTGTAATCTAAACAAGGACTGCTACTGAGCAAGAAAGGAAATGGAAAGAGTAGCTACCATGTCAGTCAAGTGCTGCGGAAGGGAAAAGGAGTCAATTGCCTCTGAGTAGAAACAAACACAACTGGTTTCTTACCTCCCCTTCAGATCCACAGCATGGTAGCAAAGTTACGTGAGCAGTGGGCCTGGGTGTCACTTCAGACTGACACAGGCCACTTCTGAGACACCATAACCAGTAACTGTCACACCAATGGCTACTCTATTAAGTGCACCCAGTAGGTAGTCCATCTAGATAGATTTAAACGCATTTCAAATATAAATTTTGGCCAAAATAATGCAACTCCTATAGTCATGACTTTATTTTCACAACACACTCGAGCTTCTTCTGGCTTTAGGTGAGAGCCTGTTCATGGCTGGTTCCCACCTCCAAGTCAAGGACGTTCCCAGTTCTGTGCAGGTGATTTTTCATTTCCCTGTTTTTGGAAGGCCTTCTCTTTTCTGATGCGTGAAACCTGAAGTTACATGGTCTGTTACAAAAGCTTGCTCTGGTTCCCCTTTCCCACCCCACCTTTGGGTATTTCTGAGCCCATCCTGCTGATTTGCTGTCCCGTTAACAACAGAATGATGTCAGTGTTTGCCTGCTGAAAAAGCCCCACTGCTTCTTATCAGCTGTGCCACCCTGTGATTACTGTCTGGAAACCAGAAGCAGCCAGCTCAGTAAAATGCGTGTGCCTGGGGACCTTCCACTCGCCCAAAATGCCTTGTAAATCTTCCTGACTGTGTATATGTATATCCCCTCATTCAACACAGAGTTCCATGCTAGCAGGTCAGCACTTCCCACTGATTCCATGTATGCATAAATTCATACTTTAGAACATAAAAAAAAAACAGTTTTATGGGGGATGCAAAGTGTTTTTCTTGACATGTTTTCTGCACGGACTCTCAACACGACTCAACTTTCTCTTAGGGATTCTTTCCCTCTGAGAAACACTTCTGTACAGTAAAAGAAAAACAGTATTGCTTAGTTCATGAGAGCTGAACATGGCCAAAATAGACCTCTTTGCATACAAAGTATTTCAAAAGCTTTCTTGGTATTGGCTCAGTCGTTCTTGCATGTCTTTACCTAATAAATAGGAACTTCCTTTAAAATGTTCACAGTCTGTTTTAAAGTTTACAAGGCAACCATCAGCTCTCACAGCTCATTTCCTTTCCTTTTTTTCTCCTTCTTTTTCTCTTTTCTTTTTTATCTTTTTTCTCATTATTTTTCTTTTTACTTTTCCTCTCTTTTTTCCTGTTCTTTCTGAGCATGCCATAGAACAATTTTTTACTCTCCTCACTACAGCTCAGCATGGTGGTGGCTTACATCTCAGCAGGATTTTATGTGTCAAGGTGGAGCAAATGACAGTTGAACTGCTCATGTAGGGCTGGGGAATCACAGTACTCAAATCATGACTACAGCACTTGTGTAAGCTAAAATGCTAAGTTGTAAGTTAAAACTGCTCTCTTAATTGTAAGCTAGGTTGTAAATTGGGACTACTCTGTTGAGAGCAAGATGGGCTGGTGAGGCCTTGGGGTATGTATAAAACAAGGGTAACCTCTGAAGATAAAGAAGGAGTAAGCAAGACAACTGGGGCCAGTTCACCTCTCCTAACCCCTCCACAGTCAACCTGATGTGAAGATAAGAAAGGATTGACCAAGAGAAATGGGTCCAGTTCTTCAAGATCAGGAACAAATCAGAACAAACTGACCTAAAACACAGTTGTTAAGTAATTCACAAGAGTCTTTTGCACAGGCACAAGCACAGAGGTCAGTCAGTGGACAAGTGAGGAAGACTATCCACAACCACCAGAGACCCCTCGAGACCACCACCCAGCAAGGAAGCACATGAGTAAGTAAAATGCAAGCATCACAGTTAGTTCCAGGAAATCCAGTGAATATGTGAAGCATCTCCCAGGAATATGTAAATATTCTTTTAACTTATTATGCATAAGTTCATTGGATGGATGGATGCTGCTTGTAGACTCCAGGCACACTCACCTTGGCAAAATGATTCACATGTGTGCCCAGCCCTGCAATAAGGAGTGCTGCTTCTAAAACTCTAAATCGAGTCTTAGAGAGTTTCTTCAACCATCTTTTGCAGTAACACTTGAGTGGACAATATTCAGTTACCTTTGGCTGTTGTCTCTCTGTCATTACAATTAAAAATAAAATAGTCTTGGAAGTCCTAATATCATGAACCTTAAGACTGAAGTATTAAATCCCTGTAGAGAATAGCATCCAGGAAATGACTCACAGTCAAGGACTGAAAC